TGACGTTGTTATACACTTGTCTGTGACAGCTGTTTAATTGGCGTGTGAGGCGACTGCAAATTTTGCTAGAAAGCTACGAATTTTGCTGAAACTCTTGTTAAAATGAAGGTTATCTACAATACCCTCTTCAAGCGTACGTCCACATACGCTGTGGCCATATTCGCATCAGCCTTCTTCTTTGAGCGAGCCATCGACGTCAGCTCGAACCTCATCTTCGAGTCCATCAACAAAGGCGTAAGTTTTGTTGCTTATGTAAGACCGAATTGTGCACTCAAGAACGTATTTTGCTATTACAGAAACTCTGGAAGGACATCAAGGGCAAATATGAATAGACCAGCGGTTCCAATGACTGCAGCTAGTTTTAAATAAAACAATGATGTTGCTTCATTGTTAATTAGCATACAAAAATCAACGTTTTATTCTAAACGATACGAAACCCAAAGCTATTTTGTTGTTTTTATTTAACCTCGCTTGTTTTTGTGGCTACAGTTGCAGTTTGTTCAGAAACCTCCCAAGGCTTCTCGTGCCTGTACGCATCCCAGGGATGGGTATTTGGTAGTCTGGTCGGCTCCTGAAAACTGACGCCGTTCTCCTGCACTGCCTGGAGCAGCTTCTCCAATTTGCTGCCGGCCACGGCATTCACATTGCAGGTCATTTCGGTAATGCCAGCTTGCAGGCATCGCTGGGCGAGCACCCGTCCCAGATTGACAAATGCCGAGGTATCCTTCGTTTTGTACAATTGCTGCTTGATTGCCCACTCGGAGGTGCTGGCGCTAAGGATGGTGCCGTTCTCGAAATGCTTGACGTCGGCACTTACATAGCGTCCGCTGGTGTTGATTTCAAGTGTGTGCCAGTAAGAACGTCCTGGCTTCTCCAAATGATAGCCCGTAGGCTTGTAGGCAATGCGCAATCTCTCTAGATTACGGGGATTGCGATTGGTTACAAAGTTGCCATCGGTTGCCGGCGTGGTCAGCTCCTTGATCTTGTGCAGCACGCGGGCTGAGGTGAGAGGGCGTGCGCTGCGTGACATGCTTTTTGCTGTTATTTGAAATTAACGTATTTTTAATTCACTTTAATATAAAAATATAAACTTCCAAATTTAAGTCAATATATATTATGACTCGCTTTTTTTTTTTTGGTTTAATTTAAAACATCTGGCAGCACTGTGTTATGTAACTGGAACCTGTGAATGGCAAAAACGCACAGCTGTTTCGGTCTTGTTTACAAAGAAAATTTTCAATTTATTTCATTTTCCTTTTTGGCCCAGATTACACTGTATTGCTTTCTTGGCAACAGAACTTAACCCAGACATGCGCGCTACAGCGAAAGTGCGCGTTAGGCACAAAATTGCACTGCACGGGCCCGAATGCGCTTACATTGGCCAGCTGAAAGCTAACCTGGACGTCGGCTGTTGCGGCGCAAGTCCAAAATTTGCAAGTGTGGTTCGCTAAGATAAATTACTCTTATGTAAACCGCGGGTACAGTCCACAACACACACATACAGTATGTCAATAAAGTGTTTTTACTAACAAAAAAAAACTAATTTTTTGGGTTTAGTTGAAAATAAATGTACCTAAAAGTGAGAATTTTTTTTCAATTATAATTTATTTCGATTCTATATTTCTCCTAGAACTTAATGGCAAAAAGAATTGTTAAATAACATTACCCAAACATTTTATAAAATTAAAAAACTAAAAACATTCACATTTTATGCTGTCAATAAAGTGTTTTTACAGCTACGGTAAATTGTTTTGCCGTTCTCTTTTGGGTGATCCCGTTAGATTTGGGCCCATGCGTTTTGGCTTCTCTTGTGTCTTCGACTTTTCTTGTCATTTTCTATTGCAATTTATAACGTTTTGCTTTAATTTTATGAAAAATAAAATGCCAGGAAAAAGAACAACTTTTGAAGTCGCTCAGCTGGTGTATTATAACCATCAGATGGGACGTCAAGTCTCGGAACTGGCTGATATGTTTAATTTATCAAAAGCAACGATATACAACATATTAAACAGAGCCAATAAGGAAGATAGGCTAGAGGCAAAGCCAGTATGTGGTCGACCCTGCAAAATTTCTGACAGAGATAAGCGAAAAATTCTGAGAAAAATTGAGAAAAATCCACAAATTTCGCTTAGGGATATTGCTCAGGAGTTCAAGGAAGAAAGTGGTGTTGATGTGTTACATGAAACTGTCCGAAAATTACTGAATTCCAATGACTACACATCACGAGTTGCCAGGAAAAAACCTCTACTATCGGCGGCGAATATTTTGAAGCGGCTATCGTTCGCTCAAGTCCATGTAAATAGTTCGAACGATTTTTGGAGTAACGTCATATTCTGTGACGAAAGCAAGATGATGCTATTCTACAACGATGGGCCATCCAGAGTCTGGAGAAAGCCACTAACAGCGTTGGAAAACCGCAATATTATTCCAACCGTTAAATTCGGAAAACTATCAGTGATGGTGTGGGGGTGTATTTCGAGCAAGGGTGTAGGAGATTTGACCTTCATTGAGAATACCATGGATGCTAGACAATATCTGAGCATTTTACAGACACATCTCGTCAGTAGTGCACAGAAATTTGGATTCTATGAGGACAATAAGCCAATTTTTAAATTTTACCAGGACAATGACCCGAAGCATAAAGCTCATATGGTAAGAGTTTGGCTGTTGTACAACTGTGGAAAGGTGTTAGACACTCCACCACAAAGTCCAGATATGAATCCAATAGAAAATGTGTGGTCATATTTGAAAAAAAAAGTCGCAAAGCGGAGTCCAAAATCAAAAACTGATTTAAAAGCTGCTGTACTGGAAGAATGGCAGAAGATTCCAGAAACATACATACAAAACCTTATTGTTTCAATGAAACGGCGATTGCAGGCTGTATGTGACGCTAATGGCAGCCACACAAAGTATTAAAAAAAAATATTCCTGTTTTTTTAACATTGTTATTTAGTAATAAAGTTTCGTGTAAAAACACTTTATTGACAGCATAAAATTTGAATGTTTTTAGTTTTTTAATTTTATAAAATGTTTGGGTAATGTTATTTAACAATTCTTTTTGCCATTAAGTTCTAGGAAAAATATAGAATCGAAATAAATTAGAATTGAAAAAAAATTCTCACTTTTAGGTACATTTATTTTCAACTAAACCCAAAAAATTAGTTTTTTTTTGTTAGTAAAAACACTTTATTGACATACTGTATATATATATATTTATACAGTTAAGCACAGACACACACACACACACATATCAACAAAATTAAGTGTTTACCATGTTGATGGCTATTTGTGCAAATTTAAGGCGGATAAGGCCTGATCAAGTGAACTTGACTGCCACGCGCAGCCTTTGGCATTGGCATCGACAACACCTGCCACGGAACATATATGGCCAGCATGTGTACAAGTTGGGCGCGCGGGTAAGAGTCAAGGCTAAGCCTAATCCTTATTGATAAAAATATGTTTATGTGTGATTTAAAGTACTCTGGGCCCATCATTGATTTTCCACATATGTATGTATTTATGTATATGGCATTTAGCCAGGCACGTGTCAGCTTGTTTTTTCTTCACCGCAGCGAAATTCACCATAGACCAGGGCTGCACTGCATAAGCGCGCCATTTGAAATCCAATTGCAACAGATCATGCTATCTCTCGGTGCATGCTTGGCCACTACGACACAACGCAAATCTCTAAAAACGTGCCTTCACTGCAACTGATAAGTGCTTGCAGATTGGCTCGTGCTACTCTCAATCTCGCTCAGTAGCATCTCTCTCTCTCTTTGTCTCTTAGATGCCCTTGCACGCACCTAAACGTACTTGACCAAGCGTCAGTTACACTTCCAAGTTGCCAACGCGTAGTTCTATCTCTTCCGCCCGAAATTCCTATAATATACGACAACAGCCAGCATCAGCCGCATCTAATTGAACAACTGCGAATGTACGAATATTTTTAATTGATTGATAGCGAGTCAATTAAATCAAAAAGAAATCTCTTCTGATTGAACTATAAAGTGTCTGTGGACAGTGAGGGCTCGCGTGAGCGAACAGTCTCTTGGTTGTAAGAGTTAAAAGATATGTCAAAGATGAAAAATGAAAAAACACAAACATATATTATCGATGCCTAAATTTGTACGTATTCGTTGTATGTTTTATGAAATGTAAAATTTTTTTTTTAAATCGTCTCGCGTTCGTTCAACGGAAGTCCCTGTCGGAAAACGTAAGCAAACAGGTGGACACTAAAAAACTTTGCTCTCTCCCCATTCAACAGGTTTTCTTTCTGGAAGATCTTATTGTATTAGGGCAGGGAAACGAATTTAGTTTGGAAGGAAACGAAGGAGGTTTTTTCAAAAAAACTAACATGTTAAGCAATACGAGGATCTTCTTTCACAAGTTCTAGAGACCGACGGGCTATACGTGGGGACTGACGGACTTGGGTAGATCGACTCGGCTTTTGGGGAAATCTCTTGTTTTGCACAAAACTCATACACCCTTTAGCTGGAAGAAAACCAGCTGCTCAAATTGTTGTCAACGAGCAACAAATTAAAACATTTTCGAGTCCGAATGTAGCAGAAAGAAAAGTAGTCTTTGACCTTCCATATGTACGAATAGATTAAGGGCGCCGCGTGGGTGGCAATTACAATTTGCTTGGGCGCCATGTTAAACCCCGTTCTCATCAATACACAGCTATACGTCCAGGCCCCCGAGGCTCGCCCACTGCCCGATGATAGATCTTCGCCAGGACTGCAGCCGCCGCCGCCGCAGCCGCAGATGCCGCAGCAGAGAGATCAGTCACAGCAGACGGAAAGTCTGCACGTAAATCTATCATCGCATAGCATCAGGCAGTCCACGGAAAAGGAGTTGAAGCAACAGGAAAGCAGCTCACAAAGCAAGGACTCCACATCGTCGAACATGTCATCAGGCGTCGAAATACCCTATCCCATCGATTGGATATTTCCCCGGCTGCGCAATCCCTCCAAGCTATGGTTTATAACCAGCCAATTTGTGATTACTCTCGTTGGCCTCATCAGCAAGTTTGTCCTAGGTAAGCAAAACTCTCACACACAAACGTGACAAGCCTCAAGCCTTGAGGCGACCTGCTGTGAATTAAACCAGGCATTAGACAATAAAACCCATTGCTTATACAAGATACATAGCCTTACCATGCTCCGAGATCTTTACTACAGCCTAATACTCGGTGGTAATCCTTTCTATCTTGTGTCTTTCTTATATCTTTCGATATACGAGTACTCAATGCTCTCATCTTTGTTTCACTTTATCATATATATACCATATGTTTATTTTTGGCGCGAATCTGCCTTGTGTGGACCATCATGGTCATGCTACTGTTCTTCCGGTTTTCTTATTGAGCAAAAATTGCCAGAATATGTGGTCATGCAAGGCATTTCCTAGTTTAGCATAGTCAAAAATGACACTCTCCGACAATTGGATAAAGAGCTAATCGCTACGTTTGTTGACTTCCTCAGTACTAATGAATAAAACGAAAGTCCATAACAAGGAGCGTCTAATGAAAGCTGTTGCCAAACGACCCAAGGGCATACCCTTAGTGACCGTCTCCAATCATTATTCCTGCTTCGATGATCCCGGCATCTGGGGCACTCTGCCCATCCGTTATGTGTGCAATACGTTTCGCATCAGGTGGTCCATGGCAGCCCACGATATATGCTTCACCAAGAAGATGCACGCCATGTTCTTTATGTACGGTAAGTGAAGGCGTTTACCTGAAATATTAATAACCATTAATTTTGAAGACAATAATTAAATATATTTGATACATAAATGTGTGTGTATTTGCAGGCAAATGCATACCGGTTGTGCGGGGCCATGGCGTTTATCAGGAGGCAATCAATCTGTGCATCGAGAAGTGCGCCTTGGGTCACTGGGTGCACGTGTTTCCCGAGGGCAAGGTGAACATGGAGAAGGAGGATTTGCGTCTGAAATGGGGCGTGGGTCGGATAATCTATGAATCGCCACGCATACCAATAATTGTACCCATGTGGCACGAGGGCATGGACAGCGTTCTGCCCAACGTGGAGCCGTACAAGTTGCACTGGGGCAAAAAGGTCACCATAAACATTGGTGAGCCCCTGGATCTGAGCGCATTTGTGCAGGGCCTTAAGGATACACGTGTGCCGGAGCCTGTGGCACGAAAACTCATAACTGACAAAATACAAGATGCCTTTCGAGTGGGTTTCACACACAATGCAACATCATTCTGACAGCATTCTTAATTATATAATTATTTGAATACTTTTTCAATTGCAGGTCTTGCGCAGCGAGACGGAGAGATTACACGGGGAGCGCGCTTAGAAACTTTAGCTCGGCAATTCAAGCAGATGACGAAACATAAAGCTTATTTATTTTTATAGTATTAAGCCCAAAATGAAGCCTCCATCAAGTGTTATATATATTTATTGTATTTACCATTTTTACTTGTAGTATGAGGCTTATGCTGCCAGTGTGCTAAACGAGCAAAAGAATTCGAAGCATCCTTAAAAAACAAAAAAAAAAAAAAAAAGAAAAGAAAAAACTATTGTGAACGGTTACTTTAAGTAAAAGAGTGTGTACTATCATTAATTAGTCTCTAAATATAACGAAACTAAGCCTGCTATAGTTTTAAAACCTTGCGGTATTTTTATTAGTATTTATTTCAGTACGATCGCAACGCTGTCACACTTTTATCAGCTGACGTATAACGGCATCTTGAAAATGTAAGAACACAAATAAAATGCATTTAAAATTAATTAAAACCCGATTTCAGGTCTTTTTTAAAGGCTGCTAACAAAGAAAATGCGCTGGTGTTGACCACACCAATGCGCACTGAGCTGCTCAAGGATGGCCCACCGGCGATTAGGCCCAACAGGTGTCAGATTTTGGGGCGTGGCGCCTATGGCACAGTCTTCAAAGCCATATATCGTGGTATGCCGAGGAAATGTCTGCCGTTTGCACGTCATTTAATCATTTGATGTATTAATAGAGCACGCCGTAGCCTTGAAAATAGTAAAAACCGGCGCCATTTCCACATTGCACAATGAGGCGCATGTCCTGAACTGGAAGCACAAGAATATTGTGCGACTGATAAAGCTGGAATCCACGCCAGAGTTCGGTTTGCTCATCATGGAGCGACCCATTGGGCTGTGCCTGCAGCGTGTCACAGATACGCTTACGCTTCCGCTTGTGCACAGAGTGCTGTAAGAGTTGCAGTTGGATATATATATATATAAGAGCCTTGCGTCGGAGAACAAACTAGTTAAATGAATACAAAGTTCGACATGCTCAGGTCGGTTCGACCATGTTCTTGACTCGTTGCACGGCTCTTATGTATATGTTAATACTTACATGTATAATATTGTGTAATGTTTCAGCATAACGCTCGATGTTCTGGCCGCTTTGCGTTACTGTCATCGTCGGCAATTGCTGCATTTGGATGTGAAGCCATCAAATGTGCTCGTTGCCCTAGGCACAAAGTCGCAGGGGCATGGCAAACTGGGCCAGTATAAGCGCAGCTACATTTGCAAGCTGTGCGACTTTGGCTGCTCCATTCGGATGGGCGAGTCGTGTGCTGAGCCGAGCTGCGCAAAGGGCACGCTGCGGTACATGTCGCCAGAGGCTTTGTGTGCGGCGCCGTTGAGCAGCGCCTCGGACATTTACTCCTTGGGCATTAGCATGTGGCAGTTGCAGGCTCGCCGCTTGCCCTTTTATACGCTCAACTGCAACGAATCCATTGCATATCAGGTGGTTAAACACGAACTGCGTCCCGATAACTATGCGCAGCTGGAGGCCCTACAGCTAGGCGTGCCTTTGAACGGGTGCTACTGTGCCAAGAGCTGGACGAGTAACGCTGCGGATCTGAGTTACATCAGGGAAATTAATCCACAGCTGGATGTGGTGCTCTCAAGAGACTTATACAAAAAGGTGCGTCGTAATCTGAACTTTGATGCCACACATGGACGTGTGCACAAGCGGCATAAACAGCGCAAGCAGCCGAGATTAACAGAGTATTTTGATGATCCATCAACGATTCCGACCACGTGCCTGGAAAGTGCTTATAGCGAGCTGTACAAAAGCTGTTGGCTGAGCCAGCCCGAGCTGCGTTTAAGCGCTTTCCAGCTACAAAAACGTTTAGAACTTATTTTGGTCAAGTGCCTAGGCTAATAATGAATATCTATCTGTAAAAGTTTTCATTTTTAAACATGTTTTTGTAATTAGTTTTACCGCATAGATTATGTTTATACTTGTAAAATATGATGGCAATAGTTATTAGTTATTTTTTATACAATTTGTTTATTGCAAACACATTGCTAGTTGGTTTAATAATTTATTTTGTCGTAACTCTTTTTGTTTATTGTTTACTTTTGTACTTGCTACGCTAAGAAAATACATTTATAATGTTTTATACGAGCTTAAATTTATAATTTCTCATTTGTCGAGCGTAGTGCGTTCGCTATAGTTCGTATATACTGTATATATATATAACTCGTACTTAGGATGTGATTGCAAAAACCGAGCCAGTAATTCACATCGGTTGCTACTTAAAGAGACTAACTAGAGAGTAGAAGAAGAGCTGTATTACATATACATATATATATATCTCTATTTACAGTTTATTGTTATCGCCTTGTTTTACGTTCGCTTCGAAACCATATATATATATATATATCTGTATATCTATTGTAGCTTTATATTTTGTTGCTGCATTTCACCCATTTCATACAAAAGTCTACCAACTGATAAACACACTCTACAAATCTATATAATTAGTACATGCTCTAAATACACTTGATTTTGTGCGGAAGACTACATTTTTTTAATATATATATATATATAAGTATTCTTTTCTGTACGATAGCTAATAGTTTAAGTAGTTTTTTTGGGCTTTAGTTTTAGTTTTCTTTACACTTTGCAAAGTTTTGGCTATTCCATAGAAATAATGCAAATATTGTATACAGATTATATAGTTTTTTTTATATATATATATATATATATATATAAATTTTCTGAAGTTTTTTATCGTTTGGAAATGCAATTTGGGAACACATACGTCTCGGGCACGCTGCGAGCGCTGCTCTACAAAAGCGTATAGAGCACGTCGAGCGAGTGAGAATGCATTGGAACAATCATAATATATAAATATTATCCAAAAAACCTATGCATACATATGTATATAATATAATATATGATGTGCCAGAAATAGCTACATTTAGCTGGAATATAGCTATATTGGCAACACTGATTCGTGAATGCACAATTAATGTTTGCTCCTGCTTCCCTTTCTCTCTCTAACTCTCTCCCGTTTTAGTTTGAATATATATCACAATTTAGTCTTTTTAAATGTTTAAATCTACTGCGGAGCATTTTCTGCTCATGTTTTGTCGCTCGTATGAGATTTTGTTTGTGTGGGGGCGTGGCATCTCCTTTTTTTAGCTGGCATAGGAACGACGCACGGGAACGGGTGGCGGAATTTTGGATTTTCGCTGCGGCTGCTGTTGCTGCTGCGCTGGCGGTTTCTGCGGCGTCGTCGTCGTCGTTGTCTGTTGTGGCGACGGTGACGATGGCGACGAGGAGCTGGAGGATGAGCTCGTGGATGTGGAGGAAGTGTGTATGCACGTTGGAATTCGTGTGGGCGGCGCCTTCTGCTGGCAGCTCTTTGGCAACTCCGTTGACTTTGTTTCCTGCAAGGCAAATGTATATATAAAAAAAAAATCTCTATCAAAATGAAGAAGTCACCTACCTTCTTTGGTGCAACGGCAACCGGCGAGGTGACACGCTTCCAGCCATTGCTGCGCCGCCAGGAGTTGGCCGGCGCCGGCGGCGCATGCCGCTGTAACAGTCGCTCCTTCAGCTTGGATACCACCGCCGGCGCGGGTGGCGCCTCTTTGGCCATTTTGGCCATCAGAGCGCAGCTGATGCTGTCGCTGCGCACCACGCTCGACTCGAGTTCGCGCCGCTGATTGTGGCGCAGTATGCAGCTGGGCTCCTGCTCCTCCAGCACCGACTTCGACTTGACCAGCACGGGATTCGGTCTGCGCAGTTCGCTCTTGATGATCTGTGTTATGCATTGCTGTTCGTTCAGAGCTGGTGCCGGCACATCGACGACTCGGCCCTCCTCGATGACGGCATAGTCGTGTTCCTCCTCCTCCTCCGCATGCGGCGGCTGTTGGGCTAGTGAGTGGTCATCGGTCTCGCTGGAGGAGCAACTGGTCAGCTGTGCGCGACCCGCCTCGCTGGGCGTGGGACTGACGCGCGCCTTGTTCTGACTCTCCGACATGCTCGAGTCCTGCTCGTCCTCCTCGTCCTCATCCTCATCGTCGGTCTCGCCCTCCAGATAGGAGAAGAGGCTGCGCGACGAATTGGAGCGTATGTTGACCAGTTTGTAAAAATCGTTGGTAAAGTCCGTGCAGGCCACCTCCTCATCCTCCGAGTAGACGAGCTGCAAGAAATTGGAAATCTTTGTAAAAGGAAACCCGCTGGAGGCAGTGCTGCAAGTACCTTCTGCTGCAGCAGCTGGGCAATGCCATCGGCCACGGAGTCGTCGGTCTCGACGGTTGTCGAATTGATGAAGTCGCTCGAGGGCCAGAGCCAGTCGTGCTCCCGCTTGCGGCGCTGCAGCTGCAGTTGTTCGCGCTCATCGTCGAAGGTTATCACAGCCAGCTCCTCCTGCGACATGCTCCAGTCCTCCATTTCCGTGGAGCAGGGCTCCGCTGGCAGCAGCCACTGCTCCGGCTCCTCCGGCAAATCCTCCAGATGACCATTCGACGGCTGCGGCTGGCCGCTGCTCATCGTGCAGTAGCCCTCGTCGCGTCCCTTCACCGGACTCGCCGACAGCGCCGCATTCTGTGCCTCCAGATCGCGCACGCGACTCTTCAACATGCTCACCTCCTCGCGCAGGTTATCCTCGGCGACAATCGCATCGACAACCTTGCGCATTACATCGTCCAGGCAGTGCTCGTATTGCCTAATCCTTGTAAGCAGCGCGCGATTCTCCTGCTGCATCGTGTGGAGTAGACTCTCCTGGCGCGCAAATCGTGTCTGGGCGAAGGCAGAAGAAGGAAACAAAATGAAAGAGATTTATTAGATTTGAGCGTGCTTTTAAGCTACAAGAAATAGTAGTCGCTGGTTCGATGCAGGGGTCGAGCCAACGTCTCAACAAAGAGAAACAAAACTCGAACCGTGGCTTTCTTTAATAATGGTTCGGCTTGGCTTATGCTTACTCCATTTGTTTGGACTACCAATTCACTTCAAGGTTCGTCTGCTAATAAAATTAAACAGCGGATTCGAACCGGCTTGCAGCCTTTGTTTGTTCAGTTAAGCTGTCAAATTGCAGGGCCAAAATCGTGCCAGTTGCGCCCGACACTTGCATTGACGCGGGTCGCCCATTGCCTCAATTTATCAAACACTTGGCTTGGCCTGGCCACAAATTGAAGTGCTAAATGAATAGTTACATGCATCCAAATTGCCCCTCCCCACGGCCCGATCTCCGTTTAACAAAAGTCTTGTTAACTGGCGCGAAGGTCAATGCAGCTATCGAGAGTTAACGTAAGTTTGAAATGTGTGTGGAAAACCTTGGGCTTCATTAGAGTCGCTTTAACAAAAAAATGAGTTTAACTTGGCTTAAAGCTCAGTTAAAACAATTTGGTATCAAATCTTAACAGCCACCCACTGTGCGCCGCCTGGAGTTGGGGAGCTGGAAGTGAGTCGGGGGCCAGCCTTTGCCTGAAAAGATGCCGCAGTGGAGCGCAGTGAAGCGTCTCTAATGCAAACGCTCAATCAATTTCCACAAAAATAAAAAATAAGTAAGAGACGCACAAGTGAAGAAAATAGAATAAGAAGTTTTCTAGAGGAGAGTGCTCGACGAGGAGATACCCAGCTAAAAGCGAACTTTTACCATAGGGAAAACGTTATCTTAAATAACTTCAATGTTCGATTGCTAAAGATGACATTTAAATATATTATTATTCCAAAAAATTCAAGCTCAAAGACAGAAGGAGAATAGATGTACCCATTCCCAAATGCTTTTCTCTCTTAACCATAGAAAAAAGTTAATCTTAAATAACTTCAATGTTTATTCCCCGAAAGCTATGACATTTTCAGGACTTACAGATAACATTTAAGTATTTAAATATAACGAAAATCCGAGCTCTAACTCTTAAAAAGCAGAAGATATGATTTTCCAGAATCAAGATATTCTTTCAAAATAGAAATTGTAAGAAATGAGATTCCTCTTATGTGAGAACCCATATATCTTTTATATTTTCTGTTATTGGCGAACATAGTTAATCACATAACAAAGTTGAAGACACCAGCTTCTGCCTATTAAAGACTTCCTTATGCCATTTCGACCCCATTTGCATTGGCTACAGGGTATATAAAAAACCATGCGCCAGCCAAAACAATTTCAACACGTAGTCTCAGCCTCAGTCTAAGTTGCTGTTGCTTTTTCTGTTTCGGTTTCAGCCGCAATTTTAGCCTCAGCCCCATCTCGTCCAGCCGGCCCAGATAAGCGACAATTTGTATGCGCCGAATGGGAGCGAGGGGAAACATTGTTCTTAAAAATGAATTTATGCGTTTATTTATGAGTTCGTTGAGACTTCGTCTTCGTATTCGCCTTTGTCTGCGTCTTCGATAGCGCCTCCCCAGTCCAGACTTCCAGACCCCAACCACGACTTCAAACAGTAAGCGGAAAAACTGAAAACTCTTTGCCACAGTGCAAATTGTATTTTCCACATGCTGTGCACTGCGAGGGTGGCTCAAGCAGCTCGAACTTGTGAAAACTTGCTCCGACTGTCTTCCAGACTGTCTGAAACTCAGCTAGAGCCTTGGTTTTTGGAGCATAGCTCGATAACTTTAAGAACTAGATAGACTTAGGTTGGTTAGCAGACTATCTTCTCTTATATATATTAAGATGAGGCATCTATTACTTATATAGCTCCAAAAACTGAAAGAAGTAAACTCTTTTTAATGGTAGAGTCTTGATCTTTGGTTCATACGAATAATGTGGGATATGCTTAGCTTGTGAGGTGAAAGCAAAGAGATTGAAGCTGAAATATTTGTATCTTCTAGAGGACCTCCAAGGAGGATACTCTAGAAACTTATTTCAATATCATATACAAAGCTTGAACTTGACAAAAGTTAATTTGGAGCCATGAAAAAACAAACCAATTTGCTAGCTTCTAAGGCTGATTACTTCAAGAACTCCCCTCGCAGCTTCTACTACAGCACGCAAAGCGCAACATTAGCAATGGCAAATCCAACCCAAGCCCCCCCACAAGCTGGAATAAATATAATATATATTTATTTATATAAATAAATGGTACATACCTGGAGAGCCTTGTGATCCCGGCATGTTTGCAGTTGTTTGCGTTCTTTGGATTTCATAATGCGATTCATGCTGAAAGCGCGGACGAGTTCGAGTTGGAGTGAAAGAGACAGAGAGAAGCGGAGCAAGCAGTGTGTAGAAAAGAGACAAAAAATAAATGTTGTATAAATGAAAAACTAGTTGTGCGTACTGTGTGTGTGTGAGTTTGTGTGTGGCAGATAAAGATTAACTTAAAGAAAACACTTATTGGTCAAAAGTAAGCGCGAATTTGAATTGGCGTAATTGGGTTTTAGGCCGGAATTTGAGCCAGCGTTCTCGCCTGTTTCTGCTGCCGACTGATTGATGGGCTGCTCTCGCAGGCCCGAGCCCTGTCGACTGTAAATAAATGCTTCCTGCCTGGCTGCTGCTGCCGGTTCCTTCGCCTTCTCCTTCGCCTTAGCCTTAGCTTTAATCTCTCCGGCAGCTGGCTTTCCAAGCCATTCGCTTTGGCCCCGGTACCGGCTGTCAGGGCCGCTGCTCAGTAATTTGGAAAATTGCATTCAGTGCCCGTTAACTTGGCTAACGCGAAGACCTGGCCCCGGCCCGGGTGCTCAGTTTCCAGTTCCCAGTTCTCGGTGCGTAATGGCGCTCAGTTCGGAGGAGGCGTTCTTAGTCACGAATTTGTATGAAATATTTTTCTTTTCCTTGGTTTTCTCTTTGTTTCTGCAGCCAGCGCGAAAACTCTTCTAAAATTGCATAATTATGTGGCGGAAAATCCACAAAAACAAGCACATACATTATCAAGCTGTGCAGAGTGTAGGGGAGGGGGGAAGAGGGGTTAATACAATTTACTTGCTCCTCGTGTAGTTTTCCAAATGGAATGCATAAAACATAAGGCTTTTGGCAACGCTCGTAAATATTTAAGTCCGTGGCCAACATATTATTTGCATAATTCCCTTATGTGTGGCTTTTTGTATTTTCATAAATAACAGCCCTGCTCTTTAGTAGATTTCGGTACGCGTATGATCAGTGTTGCGGGACGAGTTAAGTTATCGATTGTTTGGTATTGAGTATTTTTTTAAGGATGTATTTTTGCCTTTTGAATGTACGGGCAGTTTGTTTGGCTTGTTCGGTCGCCATTGTTTTAATCTTAAGCTCGTTGCTGTTGTGATTTAAAAGGCCGTAGAAGAAAATACTTCGGTAAGTTTCTGAGCAATATATATCTTAGTTTGAACCTATGAAATACGCTAACTCCATTAACATCGGAGTAACTTGGCCAGAGGCCAGGCGTAAGCCTTGCCGAGTTCAAATAGCAGCTCCACCTTTGGTTGGGCACGCGACAATCAAGACTTCGGGCTCGAATCAAGCATAGTTTTTGTATTCTCCCCTCTTATTTATTTATCCTCTTCCCGGGGCTGCGAACTCCAAACTTCCTGCGTGCTAAGCTACTCGTTCGTCTTTCTTTTTTATCCGAACAACGTAAATACGCGTATTTTGTAGGCCAGTGTGACCATATCAAGTATCCGTTGCTTTGCGCCAATTCTGTTGAAGTTTATTCAAGAGGTAAGCCTCTGATAAGCCGCTAGATAAGCAACTGGAATGCTTCGAATTCCACAAACAGACGAAACAATTACAGGCCACTTAAGAGCTTGCATAAACAAATATTTGTACAGCATTCCATTCAACAAGCCCTTCACTAGGCTATCAAATCTTTGATGCCCTACAAAGTGACCATAGAGGACAAGGCATGGGAAAAAACGAACTGTGCCGCATAGTTTAAAACTATTTTATCAAACATGACCATATAGGATAGTCTAATATTTAATTGGAATACACAAATAAGCATGGAGGTCGGCAAAAGAGTAGAAGAAATAATTTATGGTTGGTTTTGTTGTCTAGTGTAGATTGGTAAACAAATGAATATATAAAGGAAAACATGCTATTTAAGCTGAAATTTTCACACACAAAAAACAAACACACACTTATGTGTAAAATATATAGGAAAATTTATCACTTACTTCTCAATTTGCTCGCGCAGCTCCTTCTCGAATGTTGGTGACCCGCATTGGCTCTGAAAAAAGTGCATTTAAAAATAGTAGGGTAGGGGTTGGGGATGTAATTTATATATTAAATGAAATGCGAAAGGAATTAAGCACAATAAATTAGTGCACTTGGCCGATGATTAAGAACGACAATTTAATTGCCAGATATCACAGCGGCAATCAACGCCGTCGCCGACAGCTGATGGAAAGTGACAAAAAGCCAGAGAAAATGTCTAGATATGGCAAGCCGATGATTAAATACCCTATCCGACACGAGAAGGAGAATATAGTAGCTGCTAATTGCCGTGTTTGGGAATGATATTCAAGATGAAAACAAGAAAATTTGGGTCGACTTCTACTGGCTAAACATTTCATGATACCCTTTACAAGGGTATATAAACTATAAAGTGCTTGGTGGTGGGTCATGGGTAGGGCTAGGGAAGGGAGGGGGTGTGTGTGGGAGTTTAACTGAAATTGATTAGAGGCGCAAGAGGTGTGCCGAGGGCACTGACAGAGAGACACACAGACCCAAGCAGACGCAGCATCGCGTAACCGACCAGGCCAGACTAGAGAAAAGCTCTATATGGCAATGCGAGAATGCGGAACAGCAGCTGAGCTGCGCCGAGAAGGGGAGCGGAGGGGAGCGGTTGTGTACTCTGTTGCATGCAACAATAAATCAGCAGAGTCAACAACCGGCTGCCAACTCCTCCCGCGCCCAACTCAGCTGCTCTTTTGGCGTGAAATGTAATCGATAAAAAGTAACATCACGACGTGACGTGACGACAGCTCACAGATACAGCTACAGCTAAAGATACAGATACAGATACATATACATATATATCTATAGATACAGCTACAGATACTTGGCTGCAAGTGGCTGGGACAAGCGCTTGCAATAAATCGTTTTGGTTTAGTGCAAATATAATGAATGACAACAGCTTCTAGTGTAAATAAAATCTTCTAAAATGTTGACGGGCGAGCTTAGCCATAAGATGTATGTATGTGACAATATATAAACTCAGTTATATAATTACGACTTTATAAACAGCCAGACAATTGCGGCTCAAAAGGCCAACAATCGGAGAGCATCGATTTTGAGGTTGAGGTTTTGCAATGTTAATAAGGGGAAAGTGGGAAGATGGAAGGTCTTCCTCTCTCGCTGTTTTTCCCTTTCTCTGTTTGCAGTTTGAAGTCGAGTTTTTAAGCATAGATTGATAAGAGGAAGGGAATTAAAGTACTCAAGTCCTTTGGCTTTATATACTATATACCCTTACTACACTGGGAATAGCTCTTCTCCCTCTCTCGCTCTCTTTCTCTCTCCTCTCTGGCTGTCTTTCTCTCTATCTTCTCACTTGAACAATCGCAGAGTATCGATTTTGAGGCAAAGTTGAGGAGAGGAAGGTGATTAAAGAACTAGAATGCAGTTGCCTTTATATGCACACATTGTATACCCTAACTTCACTGTGGATAACTCTTCTCCCTAATCCATCTCAACTTCTTTAGCCTCACTCCTTCTCTCTCTCCCTCTGCCACCACTTTGTATGCTAATCAAAAATGTTGCCTCTTTCAATAGAAAATGTTTGCACATAGGAAAAGCCATTGTATACCCTATGTTTTCCTGGGGGGAGACAATAAAAAGGCAGCAGCACGCGCCACACAACAGACGGGCATCGGAAGCTGGAAGCTGCTCCCATTTGCCACCCTCCTCCCGCTTAGCAATAAAGCTGAAGCTCGCTCAGAATTACAAATATATGCAATAATTTTTATTAATTCGCCCAGGCATCAGGCAAACATAATACAATATTAAAATGCCGCCGCCAAAAATGGATTGTGGAGCAGGCGGCAGACGGAGCCCGACTGCCGTCCTTATCCACAGGCCTCCTCCCCAACTCCTCCTTCTCCTCCCACTCGCCATTCTCATCATATTTCTCGACGACGTCGTGACGTTGTGCCAGAAATCAGGCGCCAAATGAGTAGCCGGGCCTGCTGTGGCAGACTGATTGCCGTCCTCTGCGCGCCAGACAAGTGCTGCGAGAGGGGGGGGGGGGGGGGTAATTGTATAAGTGGGGGAGGAGTGCAGAGGGCAGGGGGTGGTTGCCCCATCGCAGGCGCCACTTGTGCCACAGCCAGTGGCAGTGGCAGTGGCATAGAATGATGAACGTGTTAATAAAATTAGAGCCCAAACAGCACACGAAGAGCTGCTGCCAGTTTATGAGGGGCGGGAGGGGAAGGGTGTGTTGCGCCCCCCTTTTTCATAAGAAATGCTATTTTGGGCAACTGGTGCGGCTGTCAACAGCTGTTGGCTACTGCCTGCACCCACAACAAACAACAACAACAACAAAAGCCCCCACACAGCCCCAAAGCAAGGCGCATAAATATTCATTGCAAGTTTTTGCCCATAAAAAGCGAAGTCAGAAGAAGGCAGGGGGAATGCGGCTAAGAGGGGGAGGGGGGCAGGGTGGCAGTCCGTCCATTGATAAGCTCATAAAATCGAACCGGACTTTTGCTTATTAATTAAGAGCCTGGGCCCAACAAAATTTCCATAAGTTTCAATTAGCCGAACAACACACGAACCCAAAAAAAAAAAAAACGAAAGGTAAAAGTCTTCCAGTTGGAAGTGACCGACTGGCAGATGATCTGTGCACAGCGTCAAGCTGCAGTTACCTGAACAAACTCCCAAGTTCCATACATACGATAGCAGCCAAACATTATGCCCGCCTTAGCCAGGGTATAAAAAGCGCAGATGATTTAGGGTTGCAGAAATTAACAAAACAAATCCCGGCAACATGTTGCACTCGTGGCCAGGCTCAATGCCAAACCAAAACAACAATCACAGCCGATGCTTGGGGGAAGGCAGGGGCACATAAAAAATGCGTCCGAGGGGTGGCTTACGGGAACATTTGCACCCGCCGTGAGCAGGCTGTAATCCCTGGACAAGCCACCCCACTCACAGCGGGGGAGGGGGACCCAGTTTATTAAAAGGGTAAGGGGCACAGCGTTTGGCAAATATTTCTTCGCTGATAGATTTGTGTGCTGTGTGAGTGGGTGGATGTCTCAGAGAATTTAGAACCAGCTTATTATTAATTAACATGCAGATTCAACAGCGGGTGGTAAATATTCCGTGCTTGCAAAGGGGGGAACCATCAGCTGTCGATTCAATTGTGAACCAGCTTATAAATAATATCTTATAGAATATGAATTTATAAGAGGTTTTCCAAAAGTTGTAAGGGGAATACAATAGATTATATAGACAATTTAAATTTAAAGTACGCTTAGAACTGTAAAAAGCTACAACAGGGTTTGCATTTGGGCTTATAATTGGGTTTTAGAAAGCTTAAAAACAGTAGAAAATGTATTTAAATAAGCTCATTAAATCAGCCCCTTTTTAAATACTTTAATATTCTAAGAATATAAAATATAAATTTCAATCAAATATGATATAAATTTAACATAAAAAAATTTAGAACCAGCTTATTAATTAACGTGCCGATTCAGCGGCGTCTGGTAAATATTCCGTGCTTACAAAGTGGGAAATGGTTTGACAGGGCAATCAGAAATGGAAATATTGTTTTTATTACCCAGGCCCCAATAACAAGCTTTGCTTAAGATTTTATATTTAAAGTAATGTTTATCTTGAGGATAAGGATAAGAGGTCCACGCTGCAAGCACAAAGGTTTGCTGACACAGGAAAAACTTGTGCAATTTGTACGAAAATCTTACCATGGCTCAATATGTCAATATATCAATTGCCTTATTGTTGTTTATCTGCCGTAATTTGTGGAAAGTTCTTTGCTTTTCGGAGCTCACAAAAACCCGTAAAAAACAACAACACAAACGGTCAAAAGGCAAACCGCAAGCAACCGGTAGCAGCAAATGAACAAATGCACATATCTGTTATCTATGTGTGTGTGTGTGTGTGTGTGTGTGTGTGCGTGTGTGCCATGTAAAGTATACAAGCGACACAAAGGCGACGGCGAAAACGTAGCTGGGGGCGGTTACACAAACAACTTCAGCCTCGGGCGCTGTCCCCAAGCGTCATAATGTTTGCGGCGCACAGTCAAAACGTAAAAAAAAAAGAAACGGAAGAATAGAGACCCCCAAAACGAGCGTAACTTAAATTAGAGGTAAAGTTATAATTTCTATGGAAAAAACGAAATAAAAAGCGTAGCAGACGGCGCGACCGATACAAACTGGAGGGCAGACAGCCGGCGGAACACTGAAAAACGGGTAAATGGCCAGAAAACAACCCTCGCCGCAGTCAGCGAGAGCGACAACAGCCGGCGAATTCGCCGCAGGCAGAGAGCGGCTCGCTTCAGGCAGCTGTCGCTAGCTGGTTGAGTCGCCCCCCTTCCACACACTCACACACATGCACACACTGAAAGGCAGATCAGCATCAGCTGAGACCGGCTCAGTCAGTCTGTCATGTTGTCACACTCCCCCTACCCGACAATTGGAACGGTTTTTGATGTATTGCTTTGGCAACGAATTGGCTGTTTTTAATTTAATGAACCGCGACGGGCAGCAACATCAAACGTCGAGCAACTGGTGTGGGAAACGGAACTACAGCTGGAACTGGAACTGGAGTGTTGAGAGTTTGAGTTCGAGTACGAGTTGGACAGTTGGCAACAGCCCCTGAACCCCGTGCATTTGGTAAACAAAAAAGCAAACCTAACGCAGATGTGCCAGGCAGGGTTGACAGCTCCTAGGGGTGATCTATAGAGACGAGCGCGTCCTCAAAGTTCTTGGCAAACACTAAACGTCACTTTAGCAGGAGCTGCAGAATATTATGGGGTACGTTTTGCGCTCGCCCTTAATTCGCGAAAAATTAATTGCATTGCACTTTTTTGTCAAGGGCTTTTTTCGTTTCATAGGGCTGGGCACACAAAACTTCCGTATGAGCATATACTACATGGGCTTTATATATATATGTTTATATATACATATATATCTTTTTATATAGTGCGGTGGTAGTTTGCGCATTCATATTTCGTCTGGTTTGAGTGGACGTATGAATCATCAGTTAAAAAAACAGCCAGGGTCTTGAGGGTCAAATAAAGGGTATAGAAATTAACATGCATATAATGCGAACATGGGGTTGATTTGGCAAATCTTAAAGGGGCATTAATGCATGTGCAACAGTGTTGCGAAAGGCGTGCAGACTTAAAGCTTAGCCGACCTACCCTAAAAGTTCTGCAGGGGTTCAGTTTGTAGCATATCTCGAAAATGTTAACTGTTTCGAGATATTAAAAGTATTTACAAAAAAAGAATCAACTGTAAATAGCAGGTAAGCCCAAGGTCTCAGCGTCGGGCCACATGAGGTTGAGGTTTAGGGTTCAGAAGTGAAACGATTTTCTTTCGATTTTGCGCCATTGTTATCAATTAGTTATATAAAATAGGGTTTTGCCACCATTTTGAGAATCTCTCCCACTTGTTTATAATATGGCCAATGCAGCAATTAAGTTAAAATTGAATTATACGATACATTTAGTCTTTAACTAATTGCCTGTTAAAATGTGCCTGCAGACAAAAAGAATGCTTAATTCTCGCACAAGGAAAGCGCCGCAGCATTCAATCATGAGGCGCACACCATGGGGCGTCTTGGTGGAGCAGGAGGAGCGGGAGCAGGAGTTACTACTGGAGCAGGGAATCTCGAACTGGGATTGCGACTGGAACTGGTTGTAGCCGCTGGCGCGGCGCCTTCATTTCCGAGTGAGTGAGCCATCAAAACGTTTGTCACAAAAATTATTAGCAATTCCAAGTTCCAAACGATAATGATGATGTTGATGTTGATGTTGAAGATGATGATGATGTTGTTGATGAAGCTGTTGATCATGATGCTGCGGCACGTTGTTGTTAATATAAAAAAGTGCTCATGTTGCGACTTCTGCCGCCCGCCTCAAAGCTCTTGTAAGCGACCAAGTGCCACTCGAGCTGAAGTCTCTGCCTCCCAGAGGGTAACCAAGTGCTGCGCCCAGCGACCAAGTTCGTCGGTCGACCAGTCGGTCGTTGGGTTGCTCGGTCTGTCGGTCGGTCGGTCGGTCGTCGCCTTGACAGTGACAGTTTGATATTCTTTTCAATTCTGGCTGCCTCTCAGTTCTCAGACAGGCATTCCTCCTCCTGCTCCTCCTCCTGCCACTAGCTGCATGCAACTCAGCTTATTAAGGCGCAGATTTTCAATGGGTTCGGACGGCTGGGTGGGAGCCTTGGTCGGGGTCTGCTCTGCATCGGAATTAAAAATTGAGCACGTGCTGATGGCCTAAGCTTGGCTATTGTGTTGCCAGCTGAGGGCGTGGCCAAGAGCAGAGCGCGTGTTGGCGCATGAAACAGGCAAATGCAGTTGAAGGGGGGTGTGAGGGGAGGGGGGGGGGAGTGGATGGTCCACATCAAATAAATTGGCGAGCAAATTTTGGCTTGGATTGTTTTTGCTGCCTTCAGTCGACTTCATTAGCAAATGGCCAATATTTGGGAACCGGCTAAAAGGGGAAAATGCGCCGTTTGCATTTTCCGCTGTTGATTTATCGCTGATGAAAAGCACACAGAGAAAAGCACAGGGAAAAACAAATCCGAGTCAGTTTTTCTGACACTCGCCGGATATTTTGTTTACACATTTCTTACATTTCCAATTCCATGGCTAAATATTTGAGCGCGATTTCCATGCCCATTGTGCGAAGGGATTAAATGTCACATAAGCCGCTTGGGAAGAGCTCCCCGAGATTCTCAGGCTCAGCTGTTTGTAACAAAATAGCCACAACCCAGACCAACAGGAACAACAACAACAGCTGTCAGCATTTTGAGTTGGGTTAAGAGTCCGTCGCCGAGCTTGTGGAATGGAGCTGCACAACTTTCAAGTTGTCCTTGGCAACGAGTCGAGTCCAAAGCGAAGTATTTAGCCAAGCTTCTGCAGTCACAATTGTGATCTCCTTCCAATGCGCTTTGGGTTTGGACAACAACAATTGATACCCAGCTGCGGGTTGAGGTTTGAGCTCATCGAAGTAGCAAAAAGCAAAAAGCTGACAGTTTGCCAAGCAATGCAATTACTTAAATCATTTTCTTGGGCGAACTTAAAAAGAAGCTGAAGCTAGAAATGGGATTTACAAATTTATGCTTGTCTCTCAAATCAATATGCGAGGACTGACATCGGGTTGAGGGGCTGCCTCCTTTCAGGATACCTTCAAGCGCTCACCGACAAGTGCATAGCTTGCCGGACAGGCTATAAATTTCCCTCACCTGGTGGCTGTTTTCGCATCACCATCTCTTTATCCTACTTTCTTCACACTCTTTGTGTCTAGTATAGATTTCTTTACTTTATTAATTAGTTCTTTCTAAAAAATAACAGCCTTCCCTCGTGTCGTTGATGCTTTTAGAAACTTGTGTATTCTAATTGGGCTTTTAGCATTTAATTTTCATAACTTGACTTCTTAAATAATAAGGAAGACACTCGCTTTTGTCGACTATTAATATATAAATAAAACACAATAAATGATAATATATCAGGATGAGGCAGAGATCAATGAGATCAATAGTTGAATCACTTTCCATGTGCCCAATCAGAAGAATAAGACTTTATATTATTAAAAAAATTAAGAGTACTCTAGTCGGGCATGCTCAGCTAAAAGATACCCTAAGGCCCTTGAATAACTTCGGCCCTTAAGGTCCGATCTTTATGAAATTTTCAAAGCTTACGACTCTAAACTGTGTGTACATACCAAAGCTTCAGACTTTAATTTATTTTGTTTTAATTTGCGGGCAAATGGGAAGAGAAGTCTGAAGAGTGAACTATTTGTAATTTGTATAAACTAAAAGAGAGCTTACATGGGAAGTTAGGTATATCCAGTTCTTAAAATCTTCGAGATGAAAACCATTTTTGAAATTAGATTTTAATCGATATCGATTCATATTCATATCGATATTAAGAAACTGGGATTTAATTCTAAACCTCCAAGAGTTCCAAAGGACTCGGTCAGACATTTATGTTGTCTAGAATATTCCATTTAAATCAATATTTCCCAAGATAAGCTAAGGGACTGCAAACTATTTCAAATTCATACAAATTGCGACCAACAACAATTTGCTGTGGCCCATTGCACATTATTAATAATCAATAAATCATCATTTGTTTGGGATAAAATTGAGTTTGTGGCCAATGCTGTGCGGTCTGTGCAGCCAATCAATTGATAATGTTGCATTTGATGTATGATATATGCATATATATATATATATATATGGCGTAAATATGTATATATACGAGCTGTAATTGGATGCGAATCAATTACAGCTTGACTAGAAGTAATGCGAGTACTTGCACAAAGTGCTTTAACCAACCCCTCCGCTGTGGATTGTGCCCCTTCCCCCTTTTGACAGCAACTTGCCCAAATTAGAAACAGATGATGATAATGATGATGCTGATGATGATGTTGATAAAAGCATGGCGAATCATAAGATGGATATTCATTGAATCGTAGCATTTATTGCATGCCACATGGCCAGCAAAGCTCTTTGCCACACATAACACGCCCCTCTCTGTGCTTCTCAGTGCCACAACATTTTGCAACATTCACACTTTTTGGGCGGCTGACTTGTCATTGCCACTTGCCTCCTCCTCCACTCCTCCACTCCTACTACTCCTGCTCGTCGAGCCAGTGATATGCCAATAACAATAAAGCACACACCCAGCGGGCGTGCCACAGGCAGCATGAGGCAGGAGTCAGCCGCCAAAACTATGTCTAAGTGAAACCAAAGGACGGTGGCAATGGGCGACAACGTCGAATGGAGCTGGGAGCTCTAGCTGGGAGCTGGCAGCAGCATAGTTAATCGTTATTTACAGACAGATAAAGTGCAGAAATATTGTCGAGCAGCAGACGTCGAGGAAACGGTAGCTCATGTATCTCATGCGACCACCAAATGTCGAAGTGGAACCAAGAAACGAAAAAAAAAAGCGAAGATAGAAACACCAAGTGGTGAAATATGTAAATGGATTCGACGAAGAGGAGATACCCTTTTGAATTATAACATATGTCGAAGTGGAACCAAGAAACGACAATAGAAACATATTCTTCGACCGATTATTTCTATATGATATAGAAACGAAAAACAAGTGAGAAACCAAGTAAAAATGTTGACAGGGTTCATTTAAAAAATTAACTTTCGTTTTCGTAGACAAACTTAATAATGATTCAATAGTTCCGACA